CCACACTTACGATTGCTATAAATTTTGCTTCCATTTTTTTAAGATTTTCTAATTTGGTGTCTTCAAACTAAAAACAAAAGCACCAAAAACGCACCAAGCAACAAACTCAAAAATTTTCGCGATTTCGCATCAAGTTGGCAACAGTGAATAGTAAACAAAAGTATTTTATGACGTCAACGTTTGGGTGGATGCTGTCAAATCGACGAAGAGAGGGTTAGCGGTCCGCGAATGGCGCGACCTTTATTTTCTGGATCGTGGATTCAAGTGATATAACATCATAATTCATAGCATTCAGAGACAAAAATTTTGAATGAAATCGAAAGTGACAAAATTTAATAACTGCTGAGTTAGCACTCATCTTCATTAGTTATTAAATGTTCATCAGTTACTCGATGTGTGTGTGTGTGGTGCTCGATAGCAGTGCAAACAAAAGTAATTGATGGGCTGAATGTTCCCCCAACCACCAATCTCTGCAAAGGGCGTACGAGACTCACTTTCATGCCGGTTAACTGTATACTTATATGTATATGCACCTTTCCTGCTTTTGTGCATGTCCATCAGTGTGCGACAGCTTTCACTTTCATTGAGGCAACCAAAGTTGGCGCTGCGCTTTCAGCTTGAATTTCCTTTTCAGCTTGTCGCCAGCGTAACCGCAGCCATCAGCAACAGTAAGAGTAGTAGTAAATATATACATATACCTATATATACTGGGGTGTAGTAAATAGGTTCCCAAACACCTACATACATACACACATACATACGTACCTTCAGTCTGCTAAGCGTTGATCTGCTGCTGGTTGTTGCCGCAGGATGCTTCGTAGCTTCGATGTTGCTGTGCTATAAATGCATACATACATAGCTGCATACGTGCATACGTATTTATTTAGCCTATTTTTAGTATTTCCAACTTTGTTGGCAACATTCAAAGCCCGCATACTCCTGCAGCTGACAGCAACAGCAGCAGCAGCAATAAGAACAACCAGCTGCAGGAAAAATTGTCGCAGTGATAGTTTTTTTCTTTTTTTTTGCTGTTGTGACTGTTGTTGCTGCTAGTGCTCCTACCCGACACACACACACACACACACACACGCGGTGGTGACAACAAAGGCATCCTCAACCCGCATTGCTGCAACTCATTCATGTAAAATTTTTGTCGACGCCAAAAGGCGAGCGAGCGTGCGAGTGAGCGGAGAAGTGGCAGCGCATTTTTTCAGGTTTTTAACTTTTAGCCCACAACTTTTCGTTTTACTTTGAAAGCAGTGTACACAATACATATCCATATACCCGCATTTTTTTATTTTTACAAGCTTTTTTTTAGTTATTTTCGTAGCTGCTGACCCAAAATTCTTGTTCTCAATTTGTTGTTTGTTGATGGGGTTTTTTTTTTCGTTGCTCCCTTTTTTCTGTATTTGTTTTTGTCTCTGTTGCAAAGGTGCTTTTGTTGGCTGGTTCTTCGGCTGCTGTTGCGGTTTTGCTATTAGACTTGTTGTTGCTGCTGCTTTTAGCAACGTTTTTGTTGGTGCTATTGTTGCTTTACTTCGTCTTAGTTTCCTTGCTTGGTTGTTGTTGTCGCTGCCTATCTCAAGCTTCTCGCTCGTGTCGCCTGTGACCGCAATTTTTTTTTTAATTTTTTTTTCTATTTGTGGAAAGTGCAAAATTTTTTCTAATTTTCTTTTGTTGAGTCTTCTTCTCTTCCTGCTGCTTTGTCCATTTGCTCCCGCGCCGCAGCCGCTGCTGTTTGTGGCTGGCTAATGGCTAAAGCGCTGAACTCAGCCTTCGCCGGCGAGCCACTTGATCAGCGGCAGTCTATCTACTAGTCATATAGCGGCAGTTGCCATTCGCTAGCGCTCCACTTCGGCTCGCATTCCAGCACTCGATTTCACTTTCCATTTACTTCCTTTTGCATTTTTTTTTTGTTTTCAATTTTCTTACCATTTGTTTGCCTGCCTGGTCTGTCATCTTTTGTGTTGTCATTTTGATGCGTTTAAGCCGCCTTTGTTGTCTTTTACTGCTTTTCACAGCTTTTGAGGCAACCTTTGGCACGCTTTCGTTACGTCGCTTTCTGCGCTCGCTTCCGCGAAAGAAATTGTCTCAAAATGACACTGGATGTCCTGTTTCCGTCACTTCCGCTTCATGGAGTCTCACTTATTTTTCTTCGTAATATTTTTCTTTTTCTGTGAGCAATTTTTTATGATATTTTCGTAAGCTTTCTGCATACAGTTCAAATTTAGCAGCGTCATATTTGGCTTTGTTTGCTTTTAGGTGCCCAAGAGGAGAATGACAGCGATTTCTATTGTCATCGCGTTGGATTGATGGACTATAGCGGAAACGACGGCGGTTGGGTGTTTGAAATTTCACACGAAATTTGGGAAACTCATTCCGGTGGAATTTTCCTAATAATCGTTGCATACTGTTAGGTGCCTTACGTATTTAGTTTTTGCACTCATAAAGATATTTAAACGTAATTCTTGAGGACACAAAGGCGTATATGTGGCTATATGCTATGTTTCAGTTGTTAAAAGTTAAAACAAGTTAAATATATACTGTGGGTCTCAAAAAATGAGTTAAATACTATTTATATCTGAGTTTGAGAAAGGATGCTTCTTGAAAAAGTTGTCATTGATCTAAAAGTTGGATTAGCTTGAGAGGCTTTTATTTATAAACTACTTTTGATAAGGGTTACCACCTGCTATTTAAATATAATTAAATTTAATTACTATGTTAAATTAAATATTCCTAATTGGGCATCGATCGAAAGACTTTTAGAAAAGTTTTATTTCGAAAATATTTTTACGGGGGCTGCCACCGTCTCTGCAATTTCAATTCAACAAAATAAATTATGTATATTGATATAAATGTCAAACGGGAGAGGTTTAAGTTAGCACTATATCTTAAATATTTTGAATAGGGTTGCCAGCTGAATGTTGAAATCAATTACTTAAGTTAGTTAAAACCTTTTAATATGCACACATACATACATAGGTATTACCAGTAAAGACTTAAGGAACTTTTTTCTTAATTTTATATTTTATAGAGGGTTGCCACCTGTTTTGAAATTCAAAATAAATTTAAATAACAAATTAAATTAGGTATGTATATTTGCATGGCCACCAAACGATGGGGTTTAAGTTCGCTTTATATCCAAAATATTTTGGATAGGGTTGCCACCTGAAAGTTAAAATCAATTTCAATAAAATTTTAATAGAAACTTTTTAATTTACACGCATATATAGGTATTACTAGTAAAGAGCTTAGGAAATGTGTACTACTCTATTTACATTTTAGTAGACTGTTGTCACCTGCTTAGATAAGCTAAAACTATTTAGGTAGTAAATTAATTATTTTAACATGGATGTCAAACGGTAGATCATTAAAAAACTTAGTTTAGAGAATATTTTTGAAAATCATCGCCACCCAAAAGAAAACATATAGGTATATTTTATGTATAGGTATTTACACAAACTTATTTTAAAAGAATTTTGTAGAGGAGTTTCCCGATTTCCGAAAGGTACGTATGTATGCAAACCACCTTTCCCTTTATATTAAATAAAATTTAAAATATATGTTAAAGATAACGACTGAGTAATAGCTTCAAAAGGATCAGCATTTGGTACAACAGATTGATGTGCACATGCACACTGAGTGGAGCGGGCAAAGGTAGTTTGCATATTATAAGAGAAAATTTCCGTTTATTTTTTTTCGATGTACACACTTTCAACTGTCGAAAATTATTTTGCTTTTTGGTGCTAACCACATTTGGCTGGCATACTTTTAACCACAAATTTTCAGGCATTCCATTTTCCAAAATAAGCTGCATTTATCTAAGTATATTCTACACAAAGAATTTCCTAGCCTTTCTTTAACATCTTTCACACACACAGACACACCGACACACCTAGCTTTTCCGTAATTACACTGCCATTTACAGTGAGTAAACACCTTTTATTTTCAGTTTCTTTTCTTCAAAAGTAAACATTGAATTGTGGTTGACACAAATTTGACTGGCATAAATATCTACTTGTATATAAATAGGTCTGACTTCGGAAGTATGCCATAAAATGAGCACAAATATATACATATTTATTATAAGGTAACCCACCAAACAATTTGTGTTGCCGGCAATAAGAAAACGTGTCGCCCTCGGAAACAAATTTATTGCCGGTAATATTGCCATCGAATCGATTTCCTATTACCGGTCGCTCTAAAACGTCCGCCGAAGGCAACTCGCCTGGGTGAGTCGTTTTCTTATTACCTGAATGATAAGGAACTTTACAAAAATTTTAACAAAATCATGGCACAGTGACATAAGCGACAACAAAATATATAGCAGCGCCTTCAATCATGCCAGAAGAAATCGAAACATTGATTTTTATTAATTTGAATCGGAATCCTTACAATAAAATCATGTATGTATACAAAGTCCATAAAATAACCAATAAAAATGTTTGATGCTTTTTTAAATTCAAAACTTGGTAATACTGCCTTTTGTTCGATGCTTCCTCTATTTCTTGTCGAGTTCGTCTTGCTCTCTCATTTTGGTATTTTTTGACGTCACGGCCAGTTGCTCTCAGCTCGATTGGCGCAATCTTGTATTCTTGTATTG